CGCAGGAGACAACGTCTGACACGACCGCTTGACCCTGACCGTCGTCGTGCGCTCACCGCTCCTCCAGGTTGTCTTTCGCCATTTTTTAACCCTTTGCACTCGGAGCCGTCTCGTTACGGAACATCTCCAACGAAGGTCTCCCAAATCAGAAGTTGCTTTTCCACAAATCAATCAATAGGTTTCTTCAGTGATACAATCACCTTATACAGGTATTCCTTTCTAGCTGACATATTGTACTCAATTTTATCATTGCGCTACTTTTAATGCTTTCAGTGAATCTGATCTTTTTTTAGTGTGTATTGTAATCGTTTATCTAGATAAATTCGTTGAATTCATGTTGAGGTTGAATAATAAGAAATAAAACTAATTTTTTTGAACATAATTATGTTTCGTTTATACTCTTTCTTACCATACTCAATAATGCTCTTTTGAGACCAGATGATCTGAATATAATTGAAACCCATTACCAAACATATAAGATACAAAATGAAGTCACGATAAGCCATTTTTTCAAAAATGTTTCAATTGATCCCAGTCTACCTTAGTTATTTGAAACAAACCTTTGCACATCTATTAAAGCATAATAACACTATATATTTAATGCAATAAATGTGAATAACACGTAGACTAGTGCAAGGGTATCGAACAGAATACATTATACCGGAGCCCTGTAAACAATGGCCCTCGAAAGGTAGGCGACCCTTGCCATTATCCGTGAGAGAAGGCCGCGTGCTCATCGCTATACAGAAAAGTCACCTGTACATGCGTGGCTCGAATTGTTCTTTACCTTTCGAGCTAGGAAACTCCCCTGAAAGGATTCCATCGTCGAGAAACATTGAGACTTCGAACCGCCAAAGCGCGTCTCGCGATTCGCCGTCATTGTACGCATTTGCCAAGTTTGGATCGACGTATCCTGTGATCCCTGAGCACGACTGATTTATCTACGCGCTGAGAAACGTATCTCCGATCGACACGATGTCTCCTGAGAAACCTAGGACGCCAATAGCCTCCCATCGGTACAACTGAATCCCATGGTTCCCTTCGCGACAGCGCGTAATCTCTTTTTCATAATCAACGAGGTAATTTACGGTCGCGATAACGCCGTTTCTCGTTTTCGCCGATCGTTCTTCAAAGGAATCGGGAGATACGTTTTAAATGGACGTATTAATAGATATTTAGCCATTTTTTACAGTACTACGGGTAATGGTAGCTGGCTGTTTAATCCATTCATTGCTAGGCAAATTTAAAACGTTTTGCTTTGACCGCCAAGATTTAATACAGACGTGTAATCTAGGTTATTATTTTGATAATAAAAAATGATATTAAATTTGTTGCTTTAAAAAGAAAATTTACAATGTTTTATGTTGAGGTAAATAGCTACCATTTAATATGGATAAGAACTCAATGTATTAATCAAATTCTTTTAAATCTGGTGTTTGAATTCACCACTACAGTTGGCTAATAGCGAAACATCCTGTTAATTCCTCCTACTCCAACTTGAGTGACAATTTGAAAAGTCCACTTGCAAGTTCCATAATTGAACCTGACCTTGACACCAACAGAGCTGATGTTTCTAATCCCGCTACTTCTCAAACTATCTATTAAAGAGCTTCTAATTATGTCGCAGCCCCCACTTCGTTACAATTCGTCAACTGCCCGCGAACAAATGTTCTTCGATAAATCTCCCAGCGTTGATTTCTGTTCTAATCGCTAGAAATCTGGCTTAACGACGCCTGGTTTCAAATCTGTAGATTAACCAGATGTGTAACATAGATTGAGCGCGCACCAAGGAGAGTTAGCCTTAGGCTAGAGCAAATAAGTAGTAAAAGCTGGACACGGGATGATTCATTTCGAAGTGGAAGCATTGCTCCCCGCGTGTTCCGATACACCCTGTATGAAGACGCCTGATTTCGACGATGACAAGACCGTGGAGTGAAAAAGGCTCTTGCACGTCGGCGACGTGACTAATGTCTCTGGACTGTTCGCAGTGACGGAACCTGAGGATACTTTAACGTCATAATCCGACAGGTGAAGTACGGTTAACGTGCTCCGACACATGTGCACACTGTCCGTTCGCCCCGTATGACGTTGCGTAAAATCAGCGGGAGTCCTGAGAACGATGAACTACGCGGGAATGTAAATAGGGCTATTCCTGACGACTTTAGCCACTGTTTCTTGTCATTCCTAGAACGCGGATCAATCGAGGTCACTGGTGAACTCTGGCAATGTCCTTGCACAGGTTCTTCTTTGGTTGTTTAAATTCCCTGTCATCCTTATGACTTTGATTTTGACTTCCCTAACCCTTTGACGAGTACGAACGAGCATATTAAACGATTGGGGCTGTGGATTTGTACTCTGTTTGGACGCACCGGTGCGTTGTATTCGTCAAAGGGTTAAGCATCTCAGGAAAGAAGAGTACCCTCTCAACCGCACGAGCTATTTCCTTACGAGTAAAAGTAGGTTAAAATCGAAAGTAACCATGTTGCCTGGTTCCCTTATTAGTGCAACGTTTCAACAACATCACCCTCCACCTCTCCCCTTTCTCTTAACGAGTTCCCTCGGTCTAATCGCAGTTTCAGATGCCAAAAAATAGGAAGTCAGAAAGCCCGCGACACTAAACTACGCCTGAAGTCCCCGACGGTCGCAAATCGCGTCGAAGAGGGTACCGGTTCCTTAACGAGAGAGCGCAATAGGATAATGCTTGACCGTTTATCAAGATTTCAGTGTTTGATGTGGTTTCTATTCGCGCGTGTGCACATTCGTACAACTTGGAATGTCTGAAAATGGGTAAAACGTGTTCTACCGGAAAATGCCGTTTCTCGTTGAATTTTTCAAGGGCCTTAAATCGTCGCCGCTATTTCTCGTGCTTCAACGACGGAGAAGAGCGGTGCTTATAGCGATTTGAAAATTATATTTCCGTTGTCTCGAGGGAAACGTGAATACGCGCGATTATATTTTCCGTGTAATCGGGAGAAAACGTGTCGTTGGCAGCTATAAAACTTTGGATGAAGACTAGTTAATTTTCATTGCCCAATTGATAGATTGGAATATTATCTCTTGCATACGGTAAAATCCTTTTAATCGACGTAAGTGATGAAAGTTGAGATTATATAATTCCGAATTTATGCGACGATTTAGGAACTGGATTCGTTTGCGGGACGTAAATGTAATGAATGGAGCAGCCAGCCAGTGCATGATGAAGCTTTAAGGGAGTTAGTTTGGAAATTGGAAAGGATTGGGCACATTCCCTGTAAGCTGAAATATTTCTCTGAGAACATTTCTCGGAAACGTGTACATACGCTTTTTGCAGTCAAAGGTTTAATCACTAATCGTGTCTGATCAACGTGTCGGACCACTAATCGTTAATGTACACCATGAAATTAGAATGCCCATTTTCCCCATCGCAGATAAAGGATCGATAAGCATTTTCGTACGATAATTAATAGAATTAATGTACTGTACAGCATTCGCTGAGGTTCTAGGTGCAGCCATCGACATCAGCGTCGCTAAAATTAAATTCAGTTAACCGCAACTTAACATTTAGCTCCTTTCCCGCGGCTCCGACGTGTACACCGTCCAACGCAACCGAGTGTACCGCAAATCATGCACGACTACCTTATCCAGCGATCCGAGCAATGAGATACGAAGCGGAGAAGACACTCGACAAGCAGAATCTTTACGAACTTAGCCAATTGGCCCGGTTACGTTTAGTAGGGCATCATTGTTACACCTGGAGAAAGCCCAAGGGAGAGTCCCGTACATCTTTCGACTTTCCTAAGATACGCGCCTTCGTGCAAGACGACACACGTGGCTACCAAGAGAGAAAATACCGTCGAAACGATTTGCATATTTACGGATCCAGGGTCAGGACACCTCGATCGTCGGGAGTCGTCCTGACATTGTGGTGATCGCTCGATGCAGGTTGTCGCGAGTAGAGTGAAAAGGAATCGTTTGTTGTTTAAAGGGAATTTTAATTATAATTCACGAACCAATCACGACTAGTGCATCCGTATAAATTTGTTGCTACTGTATATTTACATTCTCGCCGATTCCAACTTTCCTCGTGGTTTCTCCATGCCATAGCGAGTTGCATACACAACAGTCGCATAGATTGCATCCCACGACCCGGACCCACGACGAAAAGATCATTACTCCTCGGTGTCGCCACAAAAGGAATCTCCGTGCTGTTTGAAAGTGTGATGATTCAGTTAACCGTGACGCGTGGTCTCCACGCGTGAGGACGGTTTATATTCGGGTCATTCCACTTGAATCGATAGTACCTCGCGTTCTATGTGAAAAATTCTAGTGAAATTGAAATATGACGTGGTACGCGTAGAATTGACGGGTGTCCGAGTCATCATTTGGGTGGACATCACATATTTGTAAACTATATATCGAAGACTTAAGCGACTTAAAGTATCTCAAGATTAAATATTGCTTTCGACTTTAGAATTATTCTAAAAAGGACGTAATATAATTTCGGGTAAAGAGCCAAGTTGTATAACAGCCAAGTCGATTCTTCTTCTTATTGGACCTAATTCACGTTGAATATTCAGAACCCGTCCCTGAACGAATTCGGTCGTCATCGACAGAACCATTAACATTTTAACGATCGCCGTCTCCCCTGTGCGGTGAGACAGCGACTATTAATTCGGAATTAAACGACTTGTTTTGCAACAGTCTCTCGAGCGAGGCTCTCCTCTCGGTCGATGCCACGCGAGGAATCCTCAAACGAGAAATTTACGATAATGAAGATCTTCTAAATTGAGACGTCGAGGAGGAAAGGTCCCTGCCAAAGGAAAATGGTTCACCTTAATCGATAGTTGATTTCGGGTGCGATTTCGTAATTCCCTTGCAGTATCATGTTTTTATTTGTCATCTATTATTCGAATAAAACTTTACCATTCAGTGTCCTGCAATAATCGAGATCACTTCAATTGAGATCCAGAAGGCAGATTTCAGAATTGTACGAAGTGTTACGTTTCTGTGTGCTTTTTCAGAGTGCAACGTTGCGGGATTTGTCAGCAGCACTGGCCAAGTTGAGAGGGTGCCTTACGTTTTTCTACCCCAACGCGGCCAGATAATCTACCCTCACGCAGAAATTCGCTTCGAAGGTGAGTTCCTTCATAAATATCAAAAATTACATCACGAAGAAATGAATTAATCGTTCAGGTGACGAACTACTTGCTGGTCATCGATATTTTCATCCAGTTGTCAACTTTGTAAAAATAATTTTTGTACACGCAGGATAGATAAAGAGGACCTGTAACAACATTTAAGCACAATTATTGGTGCGATCGTGATTGATATTAAATAATTATCAATAATTCTTATACGATCTTACAGTCACGACATCGTTAACACTCGCCTTATTCGATTGTTTATTAACTTTCTACAAACAATTGATACCTTTTGAGGCTACTAGTATAAAGTATAGATCATTAGCAACAATCGAGGGCCGTTGTTGTTACGGCTCTGATCGAAATTAAATAGTTATAAGCATTTCTCGTAGCCGGGACAGCGCAAATTTCAAATTTCGTTACCCGTAGCGCCATCCATCGGAATGCGCTCGAAGCTCAACTGGACGGGTAACGAAATTTGAAATTAGCGCTGTGCCGGTTACGAGAAATGCTAACGTATCAATTTTTTTCATTTAAAATTCTCTTCCTGTAAGGTGTAACGACACCAGTCTGTGGTGTCGCTGGCGCTCAGCAATTAGGTCGAACAGGATGGTTGGAACTAAGGAACATCTCGGACACCGAGCCGCCCTTTAGATTGTTCCGTGACGAGGGCAGGACGTTTCTGCTGGTTGGTAACATTCTCCAAGAAGAGATTTTCCATTTATAAACTTATTATCTTTCGTTAAAGTGCATATTATTTTTCATTGAAATATACCCATCTTTAGTGGATCGGTGAAGCAGGTCTGAAAGAGGCAGCAGAAGGTCGAGTAGTGACAGCCAAACTGGTCTGCAGGGACGCTTCATCGAAGTCGAAGCTTCCTATTGTGTTCACGCCGTGCGTGGCTTTCAGGGTGGCTGGTTCGCCCTCGAAAAGCAGTAAGTAACAGTGCTCCAAAAACAAGAACAAAAATTTCATTGTTTCTCAATGATTTTCTTCAGACGTTCGAGAAGTGACGTTCTCTTCAACGACTCAACTCACTCAAGGGCTGTCCACCACCGAGTACACAGCCATAGGTCTATCCTCCGTGATCCTGGCCTTGATATACATCGCAAGCGTGTCTTTATATCTGCATAGCAAGAAGGCCAGACGAAAAATTATCGAAGAACCAGAATTGAACCTGTCACCTGGTCGAGAAGTGAGTGGATTGGTGAAGAACAACCCACTGCTCGCTGCATCTAGGCATTTCGAGAGCGACGCCAACAGTGGTTTAACGGAAAGTGACCTTGGCGATGAGCTTCCGGCCAGTGACGGAGAACAGGGCTTCGAGAACGTAAGTGGAACTAGTATTTTTCCATTTTCAAATTACAGGCGTATTTCTTCTTTCGAATTTGAACTAGAGGATCCTATTGAAGTATAGGATACATTGTGAAATTAACAAGTCCTTTAACTATTTAATGCTCGAGTAAAAGATTAAGTACAAGTATCATCATGGTTATTCAATGTGACATCGTTAATATCGTCGAAAAGCAATTATTAAAAGAAAGCAAGTATTTGCCTCCAGAGAAAGTAAGAATCTTATGTAAAGAGACTCATTTCCATAAATCAGGTAACATCGGCCGTCATCCACCCTCACTGCGTTTATTTGGAGCAGTCCGAGCTCTGCTTCGGTTCCGGCTCGATTTTAGGTGAAAGGATACCGGAAGAGGATGTACGAGTCGTGGAAACCGCGGAAAATCCCCATCAGCAAGATATCCCTGTACTGCCCGGGGCACAGAGGAGAAAATTATACTTCAACCCAGCCTACTTCGACAGACAGTTATTGCTGGTAAGCTAACAACTATCAGCTTAAAATAGACTTAACCGAAGTATAATAAAAACAGGCATGATAAGTGAATTTGTTCCTTGAGTCGTGAGCTTGGATAATCCCCAGATAATTAAGGACAGCCCGGTATTTTTCTAGGCGCCCCCTCCAGCCGCCATCGAGTTCCTTCTCAAGATTCGGGAGGTTATCTCTATTGCCAAGCACAAAATGGCCGCCAAGAGATACGTTCCTACCCTCAATGGTAAGTTTTCTCAAATCTCTTTGGTTTTTGGTTCCTCCTCTCACTGTTATCCAAGCGAAAGCATTTGGCTGATCAAGGTTACTTCTCCATTTTGAAGAAACACGACATAGGAAGGTGGAGGAAGTAGCTTCGATGGCCTTTTAATTTTTGACTAATTCGTTAAAAAAAAAAAAAAACGAATTCTATCATTCAATAAAAGAATAACAACTCAGGTATACCAGAAGAGGAGAACAGCTCGGACCGATGCGACTCCACAGGCAAGAACCAGCAACGATCGTCGCCGAGTTCGGTTCAGGGCTCGACCGCGAAGTCGCGGAAGTCCCAGCGATGCACCGGGTGTCCTGGCTGCACCGACTCCTTCACAGCCACGTCCACGCTTCCAGAGACCGATCTACCGAATCCAGGTGAGAGCAAAGTGCGAGCGTGGCTGGAGGACGTCAGGACGCCTCAGCGTCGCTGGCGAGACACGGAAGAGACCCGGAGGAACTTCCAAGAAAACACCAGCAGCTTCGCCAAAAACCTGGAGTACCTCAAGGAACTGGCCAAGCGAGACTTCGACTCGGAAGGGAGGAACCCAAAGGGAATGGCTCTGTATGCTTGGAAGGACAACACCACCTTGAAGAGCTACCATCAGACGGCAAGGAGCGAGATAATCACGCCTGACGATCGACACAGCATTTCCAGACGATCCACCAAGTCCATGTTCGAAGAAACCAACTGCTACCGGGAAAATGGCGATTCGAGTGGGTCCAGCGGTGACGACGCCCTAAACGCGAAAGTTAGGAGGACTATCGAGAATTCATTCATCGAACAGATGGAGGAGAATGGTATAGTCGAGCGGAAGGAAGACCAAGGAAACACTTCCCCGAAGACTCCTCTCGAAGACAAGGAAACAGAAAAGATAGAAGCTGGCTCCAACTCGTCGCAAAGATCAACAAAGAAGTCGAACGAAGGCTCAACTCGAACGAAGAAGGAGCTGCCTGACATGATAAATGAGCTTCCAAACGGTAATAATACCGCGAAACGTATCATGGACGCTGTTATTCGTGAAATGGTGGGCACGAAGGTCCTGGAACAGCAGTCGAAGTCGGGGAACATGGATTACGAGGTGGACAGCTTGGAGCGTTCCAAGTCCAGCCGGAAGTCTTCGACATCCCCTATTTCTACTGACCAATCCAGCCCTGCTCTGTCCACTGCTTTACCCATGGACGAGGAACTGACCATGCAAAACGCGGTGATCAACACCAGGACTGGCGAGATGACGATCTCTAAGCTGAACAAAGACGTGCTTGAGAGGAACTATTATAACAGTCTTCCTGAATTGATTTCCTCGCAAAGATCCGAGAGCTACTCCCTGGTGAGCGAGGTGTACGTAAACGACGGCTACGACAGCCCAGCCTGCAGCGACGACTCCGGTCCAGAGATCCAATACGAGCCAGAAAACCCTGGACACCTGACCATCAAGGTCCAGGATTCCCCTGACAACTACGTGAAACAGGATGAATCGGAGTACGAGCCAGATACACTGGACAGAAAACCCATGAAGCTGAAAATCAACGACGACGTGAACTACGAGAAGGAGGTGCCCGACGAAGTCTACGTGGACTCCCTGGAGAGACCAGCTCAGATCCTTCTTAAGAGCAAAGGCAGCTTTCGCGATCAAACTTCGGTGAAGAGCGATACGGGCTTGCAGCGCGGTTACGGCAGCCTCCGTGAGATCTACGAGGCCAGAATTAAGTCCAGTATGAGGGACTCCAGTTTGACCAACAGCACCAACTCGTTGAACGACCATTTGGAGGACACCATGTCCTGGAAGATGTGCAAGTACCTGACACCAGACAATCGACAAGCGAAGAGACAACGACAACCGAGCAATCAGCCCGACGTGGTCCCCATGCCGCCTACGGAGGACATTTATCAATGCCCCAAACCCCCTCGGCGGGTGAAGGACCTGATACCGTCAACGAACTGCCAGAAAACGTCGTCTCTGTCAAAAAACGGCTGGGACAGGAGTCCTGCCGAAGCGGGTGACCCTACGACCAGCAACGGTGCTCCTGTCCCCAGCGACCATTCCAACGTAGGGACCACTGATCCTTGTTCCTGCGAGCCAAGCTTGGACGTCCACGTCAGGAACTCGGTTCGAGGGAAGTGGAAGACGGAGTTCGAGCACAGGACGCATCCTGGGGACTCTGGTGACTGCAAGCAACGATTTTCGACCTGCTGGAAGGACACTCGTCAAGAGGACAAGAGGAGACTTCTCTGTCAGTGTCATCTCGGAGACAGAGGGCTGGAGAACTCTCGACAGAACCCTCAGAGAAGACGCCAAGAGCTGAGATCTTGCACACGAGGGCAACCAAGGCTGTCCAGAAGCTGCGAATCGATGACTAACCCGATGTGTCGAGTTCCTGGGTATCATCAGTTCCAAGGGAAGGTGGAGGACAGTGGCTATCTAAGCAGCACGGATAGCAACGGGTCGCAGAAGAGACTGCTGGGTCACGAAGTGTCCAGCGTCTCCGAGACTGATGAAACGGAATCTGTCTGCGATGGCGCCAGTGAGAGCGGTGCCGAGAGCGTGGGAACCGATAGTGTCTTCTTTGGGAATTTTCGCAGATTGTCGGCGTTCACTAGTTTCCCGAAGAGCATGGATTCTGGGGTCGATATTTGTCCCAGAAATGCTTACATTCAGCCTCTTATAGTTAGAAACGAGAACGTGGAGAGGACCAACTTCAGCACAAGTGATAGCGAAACGGAAAGCTTCATCACCGTTCTACCACCACGAGAAACGATCAGAGAGCCAATTTGAGTTCGATGGCTCTCTTTGAAATTTGGTAAGGAATCTATTAGAACAGTTTATTTATATTTTCATGAAGGTTTTTTTTAAAGTAAGTGTTACTAGTGTTTCTTCAAATTGTACGATGGAAATAGAGTAGCATCGACAGAATTAATAAATTCTAGTAGATAAACACTGCAGTTCAGTAAATAGGTTCTCTGTTTGTTCCTCTGCAGTATAAGAGTTAACAAGAAAAACTATGTAAAGGTCTTAAATGAAGTAGTACAAGTAAAAAATTTATTTTTCGAGTTACAGAAAATAACAATACTTTTTTGACTAGAATGTTCTTGGAACAGGAACTTGAATGATTATTACATAGCACGTTTTACTATAAATTTTAGTATAATGTCTAGGATTTCCCTTGTGGGAATTAAGATGTTCACTGTCTTCGAGTTTTGTTTAATTATAACGTGTACATATTTCTGTATTATATAGAACGAGAACGAGATTTTCTAAACGTGAATCCTGCTTGATCAAACGATTGCGGCCAGTACGTTTAATTAATGGTTAGTTCAATTAATTAAATTTCGAACGCAACGCGTTCTGGAGTTCGTCAAGCGGGTAACAGAGTCTGCATGATTAACAATCTCCAGGCTACGAATAGGAGTGGCATTAAAATTTCGTTGGTTATATTAAAGCCACTGGTTAACTAAAGTAACTAGAAGTAGCTGCAGGAACGCTCTTGCACTTCGTATTGTACAGCTTATATGTATTATAAATCTGTTATAGCGAATGATTATGTTATCATTAAATATTATTTAAATTCATAATATGATTCACAGCGAATTATAGACGCCTAATATATTTATAATAACGTGTGGTACGAAAACTACTACGATAGTAAATGTGGGGCAGTATTTATTTAATACTTCTTAAATAAGTTTATATGAACTTCGAACAATCATTTAGGTAAATCATTTAGGTAATGAAAATTACGGCTGACACTGCTTGAAAATTGCCATCGTAGTATCGTAGCTTAATTATTAAAATGGCCGAATGTGCAATATTAGCTTGTAAAGGAAAGTATATAAATATATATATATACTGTTAATAAGAATATTGGTATCTTCAACCGCGACAATTAGAATTTTATTTGCTAGTCGGTATAATAATAATTTCCTACGCGAAGATAGAAATACGCTATATAAAATAACATAATATATATTACCGCGCGCAAAGCGTAATAAATAAAGCTAATATACGTTTATTTTTGTAAAAATTTCAATCTAAATAAGGGATTAAAAATAAAATCCATTTAAACGTATTTCAAAGTTTATTACGAACTGAAACGTAATGATATCTTACCAAAATGGTATTATAACTTTATACTGTTTCTTCGTCAATATAACTAACATTTTTGTTATTGCATTTTAATTATTACCGAACAACATAGTCAAAAGTATTTTAATTTCGTGTACTCATACATCAAACAAAGCATTATAATAGTTAGTTATTAATGAATTACCAACTTTTTTACGAATAAAAATAATTGTTCCATTGCAGTTTAATTATTTGACTATAAATTAATCTTTTCTCCGTTGTTGCTATAACGAAATATGTTACGCTTTGTTTAACGATAGCATACACTACAAAACAGAGTTACTACCGATATATATTTATATGTATTTTTTACTTATATATTTTCTCTATTAATTTATACCATAATATATCTTAATATATTCTTCCGTTATTGCGTTAATTTATTATAGTTTTACTATCAGTCATACGAGCACAAAAGAGGAAAATTGAATTCTTGAAAAAATTAGTAAAGAAACAACAGCGATTGTTACGTAAGAACCTGATTTTTTAATAATCCTCGCATATATTGTAATAAAATAACATCCTCTTTTTATATCGGAAGCGCACGCTTCGACGTACCTGCCAAATGTATATACAAAGTAGATTTTAATATATTGAATTTTTGTAATGTATCGTAAGGATATATAGGAAAAATTGTTGTATTTTATATTGCGTTTGCTGAAGTAATGCACATATATATATTTACAAATGAACGTTGCAAGTAAATGTTTATGAATATACACGCAGTAGCCGTGTAGTGTAAATTAGCGTAGATTATTATTAATTATTTCAGTGACCAAAAACAAACTGCGTACGATAAACGATAATTTCTGAAATAAAACGATATGTAATCGGTTTCATTTAATCGAAATTCTCTCGGTGGTGTTGGTAGAGTATCGAGATTTTTAAAAAAGGAGCATGTAAATTTGTAATTTTAAAAGGGATATGCATCGACACATCAAGTTCACTTATTGTTTATGTAAAATCGAATAGGAACTAAACTTTATTGAACTTTATCTGATTACAAACGCTACTGTTTAAAATTATACTATGATCATATATGTATACGATTATGTATGAAATTTATATTTATAATTTGTATGTTTGAAATTTGTGAAAAAACAAATATATTCTTAGTTATTGCATGTATTTATACGCAAAATGATATTATTTCTACGTATTATATATTACTCTTTGCCGCAACTCTCAATATAAAATAAAAATAATACAGTTTTCATTTAATCAAGCGTGTCACATATTTTCTGTATGAGCCTGTCAAGTATACTTCATGAAATAACAAGTTCAGTGATGGTCTCAAAATCAAAAAGGAAATAACCATTTAGTATAAATATATTTAAAGTAAACATTCTCTAACAATTCATTACACTCGACGATTAAATGACTTATACTTGGGTACAGTGGCTGATCTATCAAGAAGGTCTAGTTCTGCCGACGAATCCTGTAATATTTTTAAGAGAACGGGCAACATTTTGTCTCTGAATGATTTAACCTTTTCCAAATTCTGTTCATGGTCTTTAACACCTTCGTACTGAACTATATAACTTATAGTACTCCACAAAACATTTCGAAAACTCAATAGTAGGTTTGCAGTCCTGGAAAAGTGATAACATGTAAAATAAATGTTATGGAATTGCTGTTATTCAATGCATAAATAGCGAATGAAAAATTACGAACTCTTCATTGCAGTACAACGATGTCTTATTAGTGTTATTTATTGTCAAACGAACATTGTCTTCGCCAATATCCTACAAACATAATAATTATTAAAAATGGTTTGAATAGTGATATTCAATAGTAGAAAACATACCTTCCATTGATGAATTTCGTGTTGGTTAAATAAGAGAACCGTTAAAGGTGAAATCATACTTGTATCGGGAACAATGCAGGCTCGTTGCCGTGCCATCTCTGTTCGATTAATGTATGTCAAAAACTGGCTTGGCCATGTTGTGCGTTTGTAATTTACACTGTCTTTACGAAGAGTAACTTTTGACCCGTCTCTGAGGAAAAATACATACGATGCAGTTACTTATCTTATGATGTAGTAATGCACATTTCAAAATTCTGTACTCACGCGGCTAATAACACGTCTGCATGTTTTGTGAAATAACCATTTTGACTTCCAAAATCTGATTTTCTTAATAAATGACCCGTTCCCGAAAATAAAATAGCTCGAGTTAATGCATTCTGATCACCATAAGTATTTGCAAGCTTACAGTCACTAATTGTCTGAAGAATACCGCTACTGATGAGCTCGTTTACATGCAAATCGTGTACATCTACAATTAAATAATATATAGTAATAACAATTGAAACATTGAACTTCATTAAATACATATTGTTAATAATCTTACTTGATAGTAAATACAAAGATTTTTTATTCTTGTCGCAATATAACGGATGAATTTCCGTCCTTCTCCATTCTTTATACATTCGTAACAAGGCAATATGATCACTTGTACTGTGATACGTCCGTTTTAGTTCATGCATCTTTGATTTATCATTTAACGAATTGATGGATAGTTCACTCTCAGTGGTAAACAAGACAACTATTGATAAAATAGGAGACAAACATCTGCAAATTTAGAAAAAGTCACTTAGTACAAATAATGCAGATCGACTAAAATTCATATATAAATTTTAATGCACGTACTGAAATATAGAAGCAAACACCACTGCTCTAGCTAATGTAGGATCCAATGTAAAATATGTTATACGTTTTCCTAAAGGTGTGAGATTTTCATTCTCGTCAAGAATACCAAGTTCTTCCAAGTTTTGTATAGCCCTCGATACTGATATACTATCAGGTTGTTCCAGCATATTATTAAAAAAATCATGTAATTTCTTGTTACTGTATGTTTTACTAATAATAGATGCCTGGTTCAATGACGTTCTAAATATTTCCGGCTCTGGGTACATTTTTAATTTTTCATATTCTTCTTTTGGGATTAAGTGGTAACTTTCTCCAGGTCTAACACGTCCAGCTCTTCCTTGTCTATATATGATTAAGAACATTAGCACATTATCTTAAATTTTGATATTATTAAACAAAATAATTATTATGGTAATTTAAACAAGTACCTTTGACAAATATTTGCCTGCGATATCCAAGAACTGTACATGGTGTACAATTTCTTATCTGAACACCAGTACATATCTTTCTTAACTGCAGTGTCTACAACGTAAGTAACATCTTTAATAGTAATACCGCTCTCAGCAATGTCTGTAGCTAAAATAACTTTTGTAACATTCTCAGAAACAGAATTGAAAACTTCTTGTTGCTGAATATGTGTCAGTTTGGAGTGAAGTGGTAGTATTATTGTGTTAGTATCAATTTGTTGGTCTAACAATTTCCAGACATACTTAATTTCTTGCCAACCTGGAAGGAAACATAAAATACCTCCAGGTGGTTTATTTTCTAAAATCCAGTGGATTAATTGTACTACTCTGTCATAAGGAATGTCCACCTCTTTGGGATCAAACATTTTGAACGACTTCTTATCAAAGATTTCAATGTCATCTAGAAAGTGCATTTTTACAGGAAATACTTTCCCAGGGACGTCAATAACTGGACAGGAAAAGTATTTTTGGAATAATTCTGCATTCATAGTTGCAGACATAATGATAATTTTCAAAGACGGGTTAGCCGCTATCAGTTCTTTCAAGAGATTAAGCAATATATCAATCTGCAGAGATCTCTCATGGGCTTCGTCTATAATTACATGTGAGATTCCACTTAATGTAGGATCACTTTGTAGCTTCCGTAACAGTATACCAGTCGTGCAAAATAGAATGGAACCCTGTTCTCTTGGTATCATATGGTGAAGTCGCACATGATAACCAACCACGTCGCCTACAGCCTCATTTCGCTCTGCAGCAACACGTTCAGCCAAAGATACAGCTGCAATTCTACGGGGTTCTGCCACCAGTATATTACATTGGTCTGCTCTATTATTTTGTATATAATCATTTAATATATACTGTGGTACTTGGGAGCTCTTGCCACAACCGGTATCACCTTTGATTAAGAGAACATGATTATCTCTTAAACTATCAAGAATTTGTGTTCTGAAAAGAATTTTATTTTATAAAAAATGTTTATCTATTGTATAATATATATAAATATACAATTCTATTTTCTATTAATAAGTAATTTTCATTCCTTTATTTAGACTTCTTGACAAATTAAAACAAAATACTACTTTAGAAAGAACAAAATTTGTCAAGAAAGTGAATAATATACGAGTTTTCATTACATACCTGTACTTAACAATAGGCAAATCATTGTCCCTATTTCTTGTATATGAAAGTCGGGTCATTAAATCAGAATTACGATACTGATTATATCTTCGTGATTCCGTATAGCGGAAATCGTTAGTTGCATTTTTTTGTGAAGTATCTTGATTAATATTGATAGTATGTGACGCTTGTATTACTTCTTTTATCTCCTAAAAGTATTTATTGTGAATAACCGATTCAAAAAGCGTTGAAAGTATTAAAAATATATCCTTGAAAACACAACTTACACTATTGAATGTGTTTACTAGTGTTTCAACTTCGTTTTTAAATTCTGACTTAAAATTTAAATTGCTAGGCACATTCAACAAATCTTTAATTTCTTCTCTGTTATATAATAGAGGTCTTGATCCCCTAATTTTATGGAGGGAATGCAACCAAGTCAAACACTGCCTTGCTGTGTGTGCTGCAACTACCTTTTGTTTTGTTCCTGTATCAGTAAAAGTCATTTCCAAGGGCCATAAAACCTTCAAAGTACATTTGAATTTTTTGACACTAGGGTTATTAAGCTTTTCATATTTGAAAGACATAGATTCTTTCATGTTAAATTCCTTATTTACAATATTATAAAAGTTAACAAGGGTTTGTACAGGTTGAGGATACAATTTCGCAATACCTGCAATTAATAGTATAAAAACATGTGTAAAGAGCAATATTTTGATAATAAATGTATATTTATAAAATTAAATATATAATAAGGATATTCTTATCGTTGTCTTATCATACTTACGGTCTTTTGAGATTTGTAACTTATGAGATGCGAATGAACTTCCTTCATCATTTTGTGTAGGTTCCTATAACATTTTATTCAGTGCTATATCTACCAAGTTTTTACATTGTTTTCAATAAAATTTGTTATTAATTATACTTACTGTATCCAAGTCAATATTTTCTAATATTTGGTCCTTACAAAATTGAGACTACATAACAGAAAATATTACATTAAGTTTAATCAACTTTTACTGAAATAAAATGTTAACATTAAGTTGATGAATATCCATATCTTACTTTCTCAATATCGTTGGACTTTAGATTGGTTTCTACTTCATTGTTATGAGAATGACAAAATGTTTTTGGATGTACATAATTATTTTTGAAAAATGCTGTACATAGTTGATTTCTTTGACGTGATAATGCACTGTTCAATAAAACTATTATTAGCATACATACTTTTAAATACAGGTAGACTCTGGTTCAATACCAGTGTTATACACTAAAAACCACTATAAATTAGTTTAAGTGTTACTTACTAATTCCATATTGATTTCCTTAGAGTAGATGTAATTTGAATCAAAGACATTTTTTACATTATATAATAAATCTATAACAAAATAAATATCTTATAAGTACTAAATTATACATATTTGTAGAAATATTATAGGCACATTCAAATATGAAGGATGTATAATTTTTCTAACTTTTGTAACATAAATTTAAAGGATGAAACTATCTTCCAGATATTTTATTTACTGATGTGTACATTATTTCATCATTTATTACTATAAATTTATATGGAGAATTTTTTGTATATAACAACAGTAGTTTTTAAAATAATATCATAAGATTGAAAGTGTCAAGTATAATTTCATTTCTTAAACTTGAATTACAACACTTAAAAACAATATGTATCTCTTATTTTTTGTTGTCCAAAAAAAATGTGAAACTTCATTAAAATCAACATTAACCACATTACAAATGTTCTATAAAGATTACATGTACATAAAGATTAACATTAAGTAGCAAGAAATGAACATTTATATGACGACACAATATAATTATACAAGGAATACATTTATCATAAAGAAAATCATTCTAATGATTAATTAATGTTCCAGAAAATATAAAATTGGATTTCCATGTATTATATTTACTGAATCGACTAAACAAACCGCATTACGGTTAGAATTGTATCACGCTTTACAGAAATATCTAATTACAAACACCCATTCTCTAGTGCATTACTAAATTTCTTATCACTTTTCTCAGTATTTGGAAATCATTAACGTACACATCAATTAATTATTTTTGAATATATATCAAAAACAGTCTATCTTGTAACTTTGAGCAACTTCGAGCACGTTTTAGTATATTTTCACACATTTATGGATATCTATACCACGATACCACCATAGATAGAGTAGTATAGTGCACAAGAAGCGAAACTTTTGTAGGACTTACAATGTGTAGTATTATAGAAGCAAAACTCATGTTGAAATCTTTCGATGTCCGTATCCTTATACAGGGTGTCCCAAAAATGTTGTAACACCTTGAAAGAGATGGTTCGGGAGGTGATTTGAAACAACTCTTTCCTTAGCGAAAATGTTGTATTAACGGAAAACACTGACCAATCAGAGCGCGCGTATACCGTTGGACCGGCCGAAGTAGCGAAGGCTACGAGCTAGGCGGCCGCGTCCAATGCCCTTCGATGCACGTCGAGTCGCTTGTTCGCGTACAAGCGCGGCCGCTTAGCACATAGCCTTCGCTACCGCGGCCAGTCCAACGGTATACGCGCACTCTGATTGGTCAGTGTTTTCCGTTAATATCTCCTCAACGAAGTCTCGGACAACATTTTTATTAAGGAAAAAGTTGTTTCAAATCATCTCCCGAACCACCGCTTTCGAGCTGTTACAACACTTTTGGGACACCCTGTATTTTCAATTATTAAGAAAATAATTCAATTTAGTAGCATCTATAGATTTAATTTATTACATAAATCACATAGCATATTACATTATTTGTTGCATGTACTTATGTACAATACTCAGCGATTTGTAAACGAATACAAACATACCCTAGAATACTGGAAACTTAAGCGAGTTGTGTATCTATACTATATTGTTAACGGTGTATCACACATGCGTGTTTCTTGGAAAACGATCAAGTATTTTGTGAAAGCTCCGTTACCATATTTTTCTACTAGTCGACCATAGTCGATGACGAACCATCATGGCGATAGGTTTTGTTTGCATCTTTCGATTTACGGTTGAAAAATTCATCGTAATGGTCTAAATCAGGTTTTTCTTGTAATCACTTCTAACATCCACGGGACCTCCCCTTGTTACTTTGTTTTGATTATTTGTATATAAATTATAAATCTAATTATGGTGAAGTTGACGGAGGAGATGGTAGTGGCTCGGACACGCGTATCCGATTTCTCTGCTGTAAAGAAACTTAATTGTTGGTAAGTATTTAAATAAATGTTACACCTTTCGAATAAATTGTTATCCGTTCTACAGTGATCAATCGATTCCATCGCGTTAAAATCTTTAAGTGACAAGTTCAGTGATCCTAAATATTCTTTGAAATAGATGCAAGTATACGATTTATAGTTCGTTACAATGTTCTGATTAAAAAAATAGTTATCGCAATGGTCGAAGTATTATTATAATTTGTAATCTTCACTTTATAGGAAATAATCGCATACTTTATTTGTCTGATTGTACTGCATAGGATTATACTGAAATGCACTATATACATAAAAAATGAAGTTTAAGTTCTGAGAAAATGATATGAATTTTGTTCTTTTCACATAAAATAATACTGTAATTATTGAATAAACTAACGTATTGTTATGTATTGATTGTTTTAGAATTCATTGTGAAAATTCTTTAAAGGTATATCTAATTTCATAATATGTACATAATTTTATATTAGTATATTGTTACTGTAGGGGTAATGAACTAACTGATGTAACCATTTTACGGAAAATGAAAAATGTGGAAGTATTATCATTAAGGTAAGTGATTAAAGTAAACATTTAATTTTTATGTTAAGAAACATGCCTTTTTATATGTTCTTTGATAGTTTTGTGCTTAGAAATGTTGTTCAAACCTTGCTACATGTTTTATGCTACAATGAGAATTGTACTATTTGTAGCAATGATCTAAGTCATTTAGATCTGTTAATATCACAGAAACTTGAATGCACTCCTACTATGGTTAGGTTTACATAAAACTCAAGATCATAAGTACAACCCACAACTTCAGAAGGTTGTTCTACCCACGCGTTTTGAATTCATTGTAATATGTTTCACTATCACGAGAAAAACAGGAAACTAATTTTATGTAAATGAATGCACAAAATGTTAAAAATTGTCTTAAAGCTGTAATTGTATTAATAATTTTTATTTATATTAATAAAATTAATATGTGGTAATAAAGTCAAATTATACTGGATGTTTTCATAATATATCTAACAAGTAAAGATATTTTGTTCTGTTTCTTGTGTAAGTTTTTCTTTGCAAGATAATTATATTTTATCTTAGTAAATCTTATCTTTCATTTTAGCTTGTGTGTAAACTTGATATAATGATTCATATCCAGAATATGTAGTTTAATATAACAAATTATATGTAGTTTAATTAGTAAATAATTGTATCTGTGAATTTGTAAATAATATATTATTTACAAACTCAACAAAATGTAATATATTGTTATACATAATATAAACTTTGCAATAAAGACTAAAATTTATATCTTATTTTATATTGTCATATACCTTTGTTCAGCTGAAATTGATTTCAGTGTTAACAATATCAATACTCTTGCTGACTTCCAATATTGCCTAAATCTGCAAGATTTGTTTGTAAGGAAGAATGATATTAAAGACTTGAATGAAGTTTGTTACCTTCAAGGCTTACCTAATTTACGAAATTTGTGGCTTGGTGAAAACCCTTGTGCAGATAAAGATGGGTAATATATATTCTATTGCCATGTAACCCTTCAAGCTTGATATTTGTATAGTGTATAGATGCATACAATTTGATTTTTGTTATAATGAATTAAATTTTCTGATCTGAGAACATTGAAGTGGATATTATCCATATCTATTTTGTTAATACTTTGTTTGTGATATAGCACCTTTAAATCTGTATAATATCATTTGGAATTGAAAGTGAAGTTATGCTTGAAGGGTTAATTATTAATTATTTGAAGGGAGTGTGGAATAATTAATTCCATTATAGGTATCGGTTAGCAGTTTTAAGAGCTTTACCAAACCTACGAACACTTGATGACAGTGTAGTTTCACCTGAAGAGGTGCAAACTGCATTAACAAGAGGTCCTATTTTGGTTCATCCTCTTGACATGGATGCATCTCCTCCACAATCAGATACAGTTAGTCCAGAAGTAAGGTTACATGCAAAACAATACTTAGCAATATATTCATATCAAAAATTTCCCATTATGTTATCATGCAGCTGTTTTATTAAACCTTCCTCATAATTTGATTGATATAATATGTACTATTTATTTTTTATTAACTGACACTGATACTAAAGTTGAATCTGATTTTATTTAATTCCACTAAAATAAGTTTATTAAAAAGTACCTTATCATGTCAATTTATGTTTAACAAACATCCTAACACTTGAATAACATTTACATAATTAGGATATTGTCACTGAATATATTGAAGAAACTGAAGTGATACGACATCGAAGATATAGTTCTTCGAGTGATCAGGTAATACAAAGTTTAAGTTATCTTTAGTTCCTTTAATTATAATTATTTAACTTTGTTCGATATATTTAATTTTTTTATAATACTTTCATTACGGAAATTGTGTTTACATGCAACATTATTATCATGCACATGTTTATAGTAGAAAATGTTTTTTGACCATAAAAGAACACTATCTTTATTTTAATACTTACAGAGAAGTTTTGAAGAGACACAGCATACTCAAGAAGAGTATCATGATCCAGATCGTAGGAATGCAAACTATAATGCATCACCACCTCATTGTTATTCACAAAATAATCAGTATACATATGAAGTAAGTCAATTACATGTACATTTTGCATGAGAATACATTTGTATTAATGTCTACATGTGTCATGAAAGTGTAAGAAACCTGATTATTCTCTGTGTATTTGAGTTTTTAATGAATAGCTTTCATTATTTATGTAAACTTAGTAATATATTAACTTTTTCACTTAGTAATCGCTGAGCAGAATAAGTAACTAAATTAATACTTAATAAATAAGCTTGATTATATTGTTGCTCCTTTTATCTGCAATCATACACTAACAGCCACAGAATGGACAGTCAAAGAATCACAGCAAAGATGACACTGTACATACAGAGTCACGCAACATCAGTGAAAATGTGACCACTAACACTGTTCAAATGATGAAGGTATATTTTATAGCATCGCACAACGTATGTGCAGTGTAGTAGTTTTTAGTGATACCTCGATAGTTGTTGTATTCATCAGTTATATCTGTATTAGTCTATTTAATCAGTTAGTGACTATAATTTAATGTAGTGTTCCTTTAGTAAGTAGAAAAGATATAAATAAAAGTATAATACTAAGAACATGTATGCGCGCATACACCCACACTTACACGAATACGCACACACAATAATCTAAGGATAATTAACTACACCTAAATATAAATATTTCTTTCCAATTAAAGGCAGAAAAATTTCATTGTATTAATATACTTTTTAGGAGTATGATGACCGACCAGCAGTTTCAAGACAAAACGGAGAATATGATGAAAGACGAAATTACTCAGATTATAGTAATAATGAAACAACTCAACGTATATATGTAGCAACGTCGCCGCGTGCACAATACTCCTTAAATGAAACCATAGATGATAGACGTTCAGATAGAAGCAATTACGAATATGATAATAGATTAAAGTCAGATTACGAAGAACAACACGAGCAAAGGATAAAGTCAGACTATGAGGAGCATCAACCACCACCCCCATCTAGACGAACAACAATCCATCAAAATGTTGAGAGGGTTAGCATTGAAGTTGTTATCTAAAACTATTTTAGATTAAAAAATAAGATTAAATGGAGTTTAAATAATTCCTCCATATTATAGGAAGATTCAAATCAAGTTCCAGGATGGGTGAGACATTCTGACAAAGAAAAATGTAGGACACAATTTCACTATCATAGAAGGCCTGTTACAAGGGTATGTACTTTAATCATTATGTAAACCTGACAAAGCATATAAAGAACAATGGGTTACTTATTTTTACTTATTTAAACAATTTTAGAACTCGAACATATTATCAGCTGTGTTATGCTTAGTTAAAGAGCTTGATTACCCAAGCTTAGAAGTGGTAGAAATGGCTGTTAGGAATCGAATGGACGAATTGGAAGAATGATGTTTCTGACCCCGTCCCCAAAATTCTCAGGGGACGGTTGCCTTCTCTCGCATGGGCAGTCTTTCTTCAATTCCAAGTCCAGAATTTTCGGATTCTCTCGATGCAACAATAATTCCTTCTAAATGCGTTGATAACGATGCAAATTGTAATGTTGATCATCGCACACGTGACCGCCATTCAATTGATGATAATGAGAAACGTCAAATTCGTCGTAATGGATCCATGGAAACCAGTCCGAAAAATATATCAATCGATCCAAGTCCGAGGTATTTTGGAAACAATCAAAGCGTGTGTAAACTTAGAGACTCTGTACCGGATAACTTAATGTCAGTAGTCGGTAACTGTGAAGAAAGAAAAGCCAATGATGTTAGAAGAGTAGCGAGCAGTGATAGCATCCCCCGAGGTGGGTTTACTGGTTTAACTTTGAGTCCAGGGTGCAGAGTTTTAAGCCAAGATTGTGTGAGAAGGTCAAAAAGTCCTGATGTTAGAAACACGATTGTCCCTCTTCGCTACATTCAATCGGCGAAAGGTACTTGGACATATAATTTATAGGTTAAATTGTACATTACGTTAATACTCTCGTGAAATTGAAAAGATTCTTTTAGACGTGTGTTTAGAGGGAATCCTAAATATTATTAAACTAATCATTGCATAACTTAAAAGAAGTAACACAGTTTCGTCTGGTTTCTTGAGAGAAAAGATATAAAAATATATATAAAATTAGAAACGATTGTGATATTTCTGCAAGGGTGAAAAAATTAATTATCCCTATGTATATGCATACCATACAATACATGAATACCCTCAAAATGTCAGCATCTTAATCTAGTTTAAGTAAACAATGTAAAAATCAAAATGATCAAATTTTGCATTCTTTAAAATAAGTTTAGTATTTATTGTATTGATAATTTAGTATGTTGAAAAACCAATTCTGAAATAACGTCACTTATTATATTCGTGTAAGTAAATAAAGTTGCAGTTCTGATAGTTTTTTTTTTTACATTAATTTGTTCAAAGTATTACGCGACTGTTGTTTTTTCAAAAATTTTTGTTGACTATAACCTAACAATACATTTAAATTATGTTCTGTACATACGGCATCACATGAAAGATAAATTTCATAACGAATTAAACGTTTTTTAACGTTGTTTGATAACGTTTAGTTAAGTATTTTACATAGGTTTGGTATCTGTACAAATCTGATCTTTATAATGTGCAATAAGTTGCGAATATAGTTGCATGTACATGTGTACAAGGCACTTGCAAATATTTGAACAGTATGTTTAAGAGTTTTCAGGCGAGTTATTGAGTACTATTAAATATGATATCTAATTTTTAATATGTTTTTTTACACGTTTACATTTACTTAAGTAGTATTCGAGCCTTTGTAAAAACTTCCCGTATACAAGCGTATCCCGAAATTACAAGTTCAGTGCTTTCTTTAACTTGTAAAGTTACTTAAATGCCACACAACATTAGGAATAATATTTCAAGTTAATACTGCAATTAAATATTAATGCAACGATTATTTTTTTTTATATTTTATTGCCATTTCTTATTATTTTCCATATTATTTTTACGTCTAACTAAATTTTTGCATTCAATAGCAAGTCATGAATATAACCATTTCATTAATATTTATTGCGTCGTATAATAAAATTGTACTTAAATGTATGAAGTAAAACAATATGACGAGAAAACAAGACAAAAGGAGAATAAGCCTGTGTGGTAGCACGTACTATAGATTAATATTAGATTGATAAATATGCATGGCATATTTTTTTGCAATGAAATCTTCGTACAGTATAAATGGATAAATATTGAAAGAAACCAAAGAAAATGAGTAACTAAATTTTTTCCACAATCTAAACCGTTCCACTTCGCTGAGCCAATTTTCAATTTAGATTTAAGATATTTTATAAAAGTATAAAATACAAGGGCTTTTGTTACACATAACCGTCCAATTATATTATTTTATAACCGCTTAATGTTATTGTTATTTATACTGTTACAAAGGCAACTATTATAAATAATTGTTTAATATCTGTTTTAATACGTAGCGCAGGTAAGAAACATTCTTTTCTTTTTTTAACTCCAAAGAATGTTTCTAAAAAACTTGTACAATAAAAGCAAAAATGGTAAGAAACGTCTTTCACTCCAAGTATAATAGTTTTGTATAATTAGTATTTTTGAAGTTATAGACTGAAAGCAAGAGATTAATGATTGTTACTTAAAACTTCATTATTTGCTAAATATTATATTTGTTGGGACTACTTATGAAATTACTATAAGTTAACTGTTTTTTCTAGTTAATGTATATTATTATAACTTGCTGCAATTAAAAACTGTGTTTTGAAAAATAAATTAATTGTCAAACTAATTTTGTATCGATTATTTCTTTTTGATGAAATACCGTATGTTTAGAATTATAAGGATGATTGCCCACGGCTGTGAATTAAAAAATATTGCGCAGCATATAGGTGTATTGCGTCGATTAGTTTTATGTACACAATTGTCGCCACGACAACGGTATGTATAAGCTAAGATATACGTGTACTAAAGAAGCAAAAGTACTTTGTATTTGGTGAAAGTGAACAAAATCTCTTACAAAATGTCTTTACATACGACACCAATTCTTTATTTAAATATGGGTGGTGAAATGTTATATGTTCTACGACAAAGATTGAAGGCACAGAAGATTAGTGTTGATAAAACTATCCAAGGCTAGTTTGATACTGATCTATATCACATAATTTCTTTATTTTACTATTATTTATACTTCGACTTATTCACGAGATTTTCATTTAATTTCTAGTATTAGACGATGTAACTACAGCATTACTTAATCCCAAAATATTGTCTTCTATATTTGTGGAAGAACCTTTAACTGAAATGTCTATCCTACGATCTACTTTGGAATGTGTTGTGTTATCATCAATTGTGAAACTTGATATAAATAGTATGAATAAACTGTTTGATTTAATAACTATGATGGTTAAGTATCAGTTAACTGCAGCTACTGGTCCTAGAGAAGTTATTCTGTTAACGTTAAATCACACAGATGCGATGCGCGATATGGTCAGTAATACAAATGCACAACAATGTATTGGATTGGTGCATCATATGGTAATTGATGTAAGTATTTCGTACTTTTTATTATTTAATTTGTACTGAATTTATGAGAACAGTTCATTAACCATTAAACAGTTCTATGATCATTTAACTTGCGAAGACGTTTGGAATGCCAGAAACGATTGTTTAAAACTATTGAAGCCGTATTGCGTAAAAGTATCTATTCTTCTCAGTCTTGGATTGCAAAATGACGATGGTAATTTTAATTTAGTACATCATAAGTATAATGAAAAATATGAAGAAAATAGAAGTTGTTATTCTGGCATGAAATTGCATGATATGGATTCCAAACATTGCTGTGGCGGTTCTTTTAATCTTTGCGATGATCGCGGCACTTTGCTAGGTAAAAACATGTAAGTATAGAATAAAGAAATTGTCAAATTTTATTAAAACAAACTCACACTGGATAAATTTTATATAGGTATTCAATGACATATGAAATGTCAAAATTGGCATCTAAGCAAAAAAATGAGGCTCAATTAAAAGACTGTGGTGCAAAAGCAGAACTTGGTATGTTGGCTGTTCAATTGGGAACTGAAGAAACTTCATATAAACGACCTTTTACTTTGAATTTATTATCAAACGACGATTCCGATAATGTAGAAGATTCTGATCCTAAAGAAGACAGTAAAAATGATATGGCTGCTACGAAACACGAAAAGACTGTATTTAATGAAGAATATAAAACGAAACTCGATAATGTTCGTGCAGATTTTTCTGAAGATAAACTTAAGGAACTGGAACATCAAATGTTGATTTTGGAGATCTTAGAGAAAGCAGAATAATTTTGTTGGATTTACTTTTAAATTATTTAATAATAATGATGCAATAAATAAAAAATACTCTCTTGTACATTTTGTCTATACTTCTACACCAGCATGTTACAGTACAAATATATATTTCTTCATACAATAGTAAAGTTGTATTAATTTTATAACATGTGAACCAAATTTTCATTTTAATCATTTAAATATGAAGTACGTGAATTTATAACATATCATACTCAATTTATTACACACATTAAACTTCCAGTAATACATCATACCAATTAAAAATAAATTATTACAAAATTAATATAGTTCAAATCTTGATCAACAATACACTATAAGATGTATGTCAGGCTATACATAACACAATGAGTCTTAACATTATGTTTGATGTTTGTAGTAACAGTTTAAATACATAAGAAATGCAGCTGTTATTAATAAAATTGTAAGTCCTCATTATCAAAAAAAGGATTCATTTTAAGATTTAGTCATATCTAAAATGTACTTCACTCCAGTTTTACCATCAAGATTAAGTGCATTCATGACTGCTTCTTGAAATTCACAAAACGGAACTAACTTGTGTGGTGGAGCTTTTAATTTTTTATCTTTAAATAGCATTCCTAGTTCATTAAACATGTCTATGCGTTCTTTGGAATTCATATTTGTCTTTGTCCATGCTGTCATCCAAAATCCTTTCACAGTTATATCCTATAGATATAGTTGAACTCTTAGTAGTTAAGTGATTTAATCACGACATAAATAGTCTTAAAAATTTATAAATTACCTTAAAAATAAGTGCAGAAGTTGGAACAGTCAAAGGTTCTCTGGACATGCCACCATAAGTTACTATAATACCACCATGGGCTAAGTGTCGCATAACTTCTAATGCATTTTGTCCACATATACAATTCAAAGCTAATTTTGGAGAAGGTAATTTTTTACTTTTAAAAATTTGCGTTTTTCTTATTTCAGTTTCAGTAAGTATTTCATCTGCACCCAAACTTGTTAAATGATCCTAAAAATATTGACTAATTGAATAAGTATTGATGCACTAGATATCTTGACCACAGGTGAGGAGGGATTAAATGTAAATTTAATTCATTAATCATTTTGTACCTTTAGTGCTTCTATGTCTGGTCTGTCTCTAACAACACTGACAGATTTATAATTCCATACTTTGCATAATTGTATAACCATTTGTCCGACTGCAGAATTTCCACCATTTTGAATCACAGTGTCTCCAGGATTCAATGAAATAAAATCTTTAAGCATTCTATATGCAGTACATGGGTTCACATTCAACATACTAGCTTCTATGGTACCAACATCTTTTGGAATCTAAAGTTATAGTATGTATTATAACATTGACACTACAAACATGCATTGCATTTCAGAACATTTTATACCTTCATCAGTTCTCCTGAATTATAATTTGCACGTGTTCTCCATGTTCCTAAATTTGTACCATTTGGAATAACTCTGTCACCAACAGTTAGATTGTTTACATTAGATCCAACAGCTATTACTTCGCCAACTCCTTCGTTTCCTGGAATAGCTGGTAAAGGTGGTTTACTTGGATATTTACCTTGTATTGTATTTATATCAGCTGGATTAACGGGTGCTAATAACCACTTAACAGACACCTTTATAAAGAATACTTTACATAATTTGTTGTATACCAAACAGCCAAGTGTTTAAAAGGAAGTCTATCTTTACTTTTTATAAACTTTACTTATGTTCCTTTTAATTAAAAGTCTAATTACCTGATCACTTTCTGGTTGATTAATAGTTTGTGTTGTAATATGTAAAACATCTGCAGGTTCTCCATATTCCTTGTAAAACAAGGATTTCACGGAATCTGCTTTAACTGCCATACTCATTTGACGAATTGATGTAAAATTTGTTGAAATAGTTCGCGATAATGGTAAAGCTAACATTCTCATGCACATAACCATTTTATTCGTCTTTAAATGATTCTTTAAATAATTCTCTGTGCAGGAAAATTATACTTGTCCCTAAATACAGTATCGGAGTGATTCAATAGATCATAATATTATATAAACGGTAATAAACGTGATGAATTTTATAGCAATTCAATATGATGTATCAATAAACATTTTCTGATTCAAAGAAATAAATTGATTGAAACCAAACTTGGGTAATGACTTCACTAAACATATGTATAATTTCATTTATAAAATCTAATTCATAAACAATAATGCTTAAGTTCTTTCAGAGCGCAGAAAAATATAGTATTCGCAACGTTTTATGACATACGCATGTTCATATATACATGTTTGTTGGAAATTTTCCTACAATTGTAAAATAATAGGTGCATCTAGAAATGTTACCACTTACTAAGCAGGGTTAAGCATCAGTGGCGCCATTGGTGGGAAAACGCCCAAGTTTGTGTATCAATAATGGAAACTGTTTTTACTACAAACTTGGGCGTTTCGCCACCGATGGCACTACAAGGCTTTCCCCTCAAACGGCAAGAATTAATGTGTTTGTTATATAGATAAATAGTAAATAATTTAAAAATTTTGTAAAACAGTTTCGTGGAAAGTCGTAAGTAGTGCGTAACAGTGTGTAACAGCCAGCACTTCCTGGTGCAGTTTGATAACCTCAAATTGCTATGTAGGTACTAGTTGTCATTTGACATTTCGATACATGACATCATAACTTCGTGATTTAATTACGTGTAACGTCAGTTTTGTAGTGTGTTATGTAAACAAAGAAACAAGTACGTCTATTAATACAATAGTAAGGGAGCTTCGTCCAAACAAAGGTATTTAAATATTGTATTCATTGTGCTACTTTTTATTATGATAATTTTCTTTGTAATTCCTATTAATTGTTGACTGTTTTATTGACATAAATTGAACGTCGTTATCTTATATTGTTGAATATTATTTAGTTGATAGTGTAAATATATATTTAATTGAATATTGTCCTTTTAGAAAATAAAAAAATGATTGAAATAGCTTCAGAAATAGGTTCAACAAATAATGAACCTGTACATATAAAAATTGGGAGTGAAAAAGCTCCTCTAATTCGTGAAAGAAATGTTTTTCATAGATTAAGCAATTTCTTTCGAATTAGAAGAGCACACCAAGCAGAAGGAGATGGATATGTTGAGTTTGGTAGCTTGGGTCCAGATATTGGGCGTACTTTGGGAACATTTGCTGGTGTATTCAGTCCTGTTACATTATCCATGTTCAGTGCCTTAGTTTTTATACGCATGGGTATGAATTTAATAACTTTTAGGCCATTTAGTTGAATAAATTACTATTAATAAAGTTTTTTAAAGATTTTTTTATGGACTGTACCTTATTATATAAACTTTACATTATAGGGTATATAGTGGGCAATGCAGGATTGCTTGTAACTTTGACCCAATTTGTAATTGCTTATGGAATTTTGGTATTTACTGTAGCATCTGTATGTGCAATTTCAACAAATGGAGCAGTTGAAGGAGGTGGGGCTTACTGTATCCTTGAACAATAATTACTTTTTTAATGTTACATGTTCTTCTTATCTTCAGTAATTAACAATTCATTAGTCATGAATTTTATATCTTGTAAGATAAGGTGTCAAACACCAGCACACTCTTCTATCTAACATTTGACTGTTTATTTTACTTTTGTGTCTGTTATCAAATTATTGGTATAATTATTAAAAATGCAATTCAATTATAATATATAACACAATTTAAAAAGTGAAGGAAGATTACAATTAGATTTAATAATGTTACAGTGAGATATTTTATCCTTATTAATTTTTTCATAGTTATGATAAGTCGTACACTTGGACCAGAATTTGGTGGTTCTATTGGTACACTATTTTTTATGGCTAATATAGTATCAAGTGCACTTTGCATTTCTGGTTGTGCAGAAGGATTAATAGAAAATTTTGGACCATCTGGTTATTTGGCTGGGCAAAGTGCTCTTATTCCAGATGGTAGATGGTGGCGTTTTTTATACTGTTCTGTACTAAACACTGCCAATTTAGTAGTATGTTTAATAGGAGCAGCAATGTTTGCAAAAACTAGTGTTGCCATTTTAGCTGTTGTGTGTGTTTGCCTATTAAGTGTTTTCATAAGCTTTTTGGTCCAAGGATACATGGAGGTAATTATATAAAATATAGAAAGATATATTGTGTAGGAAGATTTAAAAACACTACTTCATTTATTATAGGTAGGAATTCCAGATGCAAATACACTAGTTCAGAATGCAACTGAACATATTAATGGCACTTATACAGGATTGTTATCATCCACTCTTATGAGTAACCTTTATTCAAACTATAGTAAAGATTATTCAAGCAATGGGGTAATGACTGATTTTGCAAGTGTTTTTGGAGTATTATTTAGTGGTGTAACTGGTATAATGGCTGGAGCTAATATGAGTGGCAAGTAGATGAATAATTTATGTTACCATATTTTAATCATATTCTCAGGAATTAAATATTTAATACTTATTACAGGCGAATTGAAAAATCCAGGAAGAAACATTCCACGTGGAACTTTATCAGCAGTATTGTTTACATTTATATGTTATATTTTCTTATCTATTCTTACAGCTGCGACTACAAGTCGGTTTTTGTTGCAAAATAATTTTATCTATATGATGCCAATTAATATCTGGCCACCATTTGTAGCAGTTGGCATTTTAACAGCAACATTTAGTGCTGGTTTAAGTAACTTAATAGGATCAAGTAGAGTTCTAGAAGCGCTAGCAAAAGATAACGTATTCGGTAAATTGATTCTGCTTACTATAAATTTTTGTTGTATTTATTAAGTTACTTCAATCTCTGCATTTTTAATATTTACAGGGTCTGGGCTGAATTTTATAGCACACGGAACATGGAAAGGAAATCCAATTGCCGCAGTTCTGACTTCATGGACCCTAGTTCAAATAATATTACTTGTAGGTTCCTTGAACACAATTGCTCAGATTAATTCAGTATTGTTTCTATTAAGCTATTTGGCTACCAACTTGGCTTGTCTTGGACTCGAACTCGCAAGTGCTCCAAATTTTAGGTATTTTTCAGTTGTGTGGAATATCGAGAATCAAAACATTAGCGCAAAATATTAGAATTATTTTTACTTTTTTTACAGGCCAACATTTAATTATTTTACATGGCATACAGCCACAATTGGACTTCTTGGAACATTAATAATGATGTTTGTGATAAATAGTATTTATGCTTCCAGTAGTATAATACTATGTTTAATATTAATCATTGTTTTGCATTTATTTTCTCCAAGTAAGAATGCTCCTTGGGGAAGTATATCACAAGCACTCATATTTCACCAAGTTAGAAAGTATTTATTAATGTTAGATTCGCGTAAAGACCACGTGAAATTTTGGCGACCACAGATGCTATTAATGGTAGCCTCTCCGCGTTCGGCATGTCCACTTATAGATTTTGTAAATGATTTAAAAAAAGGAGGACTTTACGTAATTGGGCATGTGAAAGTTGGTGAATTTTCGGGTCAAAATGTTGATCCTACCATAGAAGAATATCCCCATTGGCTCAGTTTGATTGATCACATGAAAGTAAAAGCGTTCGTTGAATTGACAATTACAAAAACTGTACGCGAAGGACTGCATCATTTAATTAGATTATCTGGAATGGGAGCAATGAAACCAAATACAATTGTTCTTGGTTTTTATGATGAAGAAGCACAAATAGACTTCTTCACTAATTCCCAATACTCAACAGACATGTTTGAAAATATTGCAACATTTCCGAATAGCACTGCATTCCCATTGAGGCAAACAAATGCAGAGAAGAATCTAGATCCGGTGCAATATGTAGGAATGTGTTCGGATGTTCTGAAAATGAAAAAAAATTTATGTTTATGTAGAAACTTCCACATATTAAATAAATTACAAATTACAAAGTAAGTATGAAATTAATTTTGTCATTTAACAATATAATCGGCATTAAATTTTTTAATTGATTGTATCGTTATATCATCTTTTGCTATGAATAATTTTTGTTACAGAAACTCTAATTTAAAGTATATCGATGTATGGCCTGTCAATTTTTTCCAACCGACGGATCAAGATCCCTTTGATACAACATCATTGTTTATGCTTCAACTCGCATGTATCATCAACATGGTGCCTGCATGGAAAAATTTACACCTCAGAGTGTTTCACTGCGAAACAGACAGCAATGCAAGTTTAACTATCTCAGATTCGCAAAATTCGATCAGCGAATATCCAAGAATTTCTAACGAGCATCGCATAAGGAAATTATTAAACATGCTGAGAATATCTGCGTCCATTCATAAAATTCCAAACTGGGGTGCACAGGTGCGCGGATTAAAGGGTAGGTCGTTAATTGAACCTAGAGCGGAAAGTCAATATGAATCAGGCATTGAAAGTAACGACGACGTCTTAAGCAATGTTTCACGCTCTTACATTTTGAGGTAAATATTTTATTACGAACACACGTCTGACTAATAAATTGATATTTTAAATAATAGATTTGAATAGAAATATTTTAATTTCAATTTATTAACTTTATTTTTCAGTGTTAATCAACTAATTCGACAGGAATCTTCCCAAACCGCAACAACATTCATTTATTTGCCTGCGCCACCAGCATCAACTACGTGGGATGAAAGTGTTATGTATCGTCAATATCTTCAACTGCTAACGGAATTGACAGCTGATCTACCACCTATAGTATTAGTGCATGGGGTTAGTGCCGTCACATCGACCACGCTATAATAAAATGTACATATAGGAAAAGAAATTTGCATTGTATAGCTTTGGTAAAAGAAGGTATTATTTAACGAGTAACTTATTTAATGATAAATTAGACAAATTCTAGACATATTTTTTTATATAATTTCATCACAACTGTAAAGTTTTATGACTAATTATATACTAATAATACTTTCTTACAACTATAAGGAAACTTTAATATTAAAACAAATATAGTTTATTGCTGTGATAACAAAATTATTCTGTAAGAGATTTTTCAGAAGCGAATATTTTTCAAGTATATAACATATCATTATTAAGACATATGTATGTAAGCTTTATCCCGACACATTTCATATATGATACTATTTCTATACCATCTTTTTTGTACTGCACTTAATCACGAAATAGGTATAAAATTAAATAAAAGATTTATGATGTTTATACGTTTCATTATCCAAATTATTATATAGTTAAATGAATATTGAATGTGTTTAATCTACGGCAGTGATGAACGATCACCATGTTTGTACAGTATGAACGGGAAACGTTCTATGTGGATTAGTGAACACTAATAATTGACCGATATTAAGTTTTTTAAATAAATAA